AAACTGCATGCTTTCCAATATCTAGCCCTTTCCTGGACCATTCAGAGAGGTATCAAGATCCATTTGTTCCTTTAAAGATACACTACCCAGCAGCCTACCACATTAACTGGAGTTGATATTCACTTTAAATCAAACACAGGCATAGGTTGGTTTGGATTAAAAGTAAAGCAAATTTATTAACCAAAGGAGTTTGGATTTTAAATGAGTTCAAGTACAAAGGATAGAAAGGTTATAAGCAAAACGCTTTCTAGAGACTACGACTTAAGAAAACAAGCTACAGCCTCTCTTCAGGATCAGATTCTTACAACACTACCTTCCAGCAAGATGGCTGACCACGCTTCAGGTCAGGATCTCCCACAAAGACCAATGCGTTTGGTTCCTTTGCTTTCTTACATGAAACATAACTTGGGGGTTCTTCGCTCCTTTCTTGTATAGTCCAGTACCTTTCATATGAATTCTTTTGAAGGCTACCCCTCAACGTAAGTCGTAAAGTTTATTCCAACTATGAAGAAGGTAACATTCAGTTTCCTGATGAAAGAAATTCCATGCTGATTTCTTCCCTTCTGCTATTTGCAAAATGCAAATTGATCTCTTTCCTGCAATCTCTTCCTACTGTAATGCTTTGTGGTTATCTTCTCCCCTTGTTGGCTTGATAGTCCTGTTTACCTTCTGTGTAAATTGCTTTCCCATTGTCTCTTAATGTAACTTCATGGTGGCAGAACCACATTCCTTTGTCTAGGGTGGGGTAACTTCACCCCTGCACTGCCTGGTAGACACATTTTGGTAACATAATTTTCTGTTTTTTATTTTTAATTTGTCCCCCATATCCACATCACACAATAATATCATTGATCAGTATATGTGATGGGGTGCACCAACCCTGCACTGGCCCACCAAGGGTTAACTACTCACTTTGGGCCCGGGAGGCCACGCCCGCTTGTCCTTGCTGGGCATGCTCCAGGTGGAAGCAATATATAGAATCATAGAATATCAGGGTTGGAAGGGACCTCAGGAGGTAATCTAGTCCAACCCCCTGCTCAAAAGCAGGACCCATCCCTAATTAAATCATCCCAGCCAAGGCTTTGTCAAGCCTGACCTTAAAAACTTCTAAGGAAGGAGATTCCACCACCTCCCTAGGCAACGCATTCCAGTGTTTCACCACCCTCCTAGTGAAAAAGTTTTTTCTAATATCCAACCTAAACCTCCCCCACTGCAACTTGAGACCATTACTCCTTGTCCTGTCCTCTTCCACCACTGAGAATAGTCTAGAACCATCCTCTCTGGAACTACCTCTCAGGTAGTTGAAAGCAGCTATCAAATCCCCCCTCATTCTTCTCTTCTGCAGACTAAACAATCCCAGTTCCCTCAGCCTCTCCTCATAAGTCATGTGTTCCAGACCCCTAATCATTTTTGTTGCCCTTTGCTGGACTCTCTCCAATTTATCCATATCCTTCTTGTAGTGTGGGGCCCAAAACTGGACACAGTACTCCAGATGAGGCCTCACCAATGTCGAATAGAGGGGGACGATCACGTCCCTCGATCTGCTCGCTGTGCCCCTACTTATACATCCCAAAATGCCATTGGCCTTCTTGGCAACAAGGGCACACTGCTGACTCATATCCAGCTTCTCGTCCACTGTCACCCCTAAATCCTTTTCCGCAGAACTGCTGCCTAGCCATTCGGTCCCTAGTCTGTAGCGGTGCATTGGGTTCTTCCGTCCTAAGTGCAGGACCCTGCACTTATCCTTATTGAACCTCATCAGATTTCTTTTGGCCCAATCCTCCAATTTGTCTAGGTCCCTCTGTATCCTATCCCTGCCCTCCAGCGTATCTACCACTCCTCCCAGTTTAGAATCATCCGCAAATTTGCTGAGAGTGCAATCCACACCATCCTCCAGATCATTTATGAAGATATTGAACAAAACCGGCCCCAGGACCAACCCCTGGGGCACTCCACTTGACACCGGCTGCCAACTAGACATGGAGCCATTGATCACTACCCGTTGATCCCGACAATCTAGCCAACTTTCTACCCACCTTATAGTGCATTCATCCAGCCCATATTTCTTTAACTTGCTGACAAGAATACTGTGGGAGACCGTGTCAAAAGCTTTGCTAAAGTCAAGATACAATACATCCACTGCTTTCCCTTCATCCACAGAACCAGTAATCTCATCATAGAAGGCGATTAGATTAGTCAGGCATGACCTTCCCTTGGTGAATCCATGCTGACTGTTCCTGATCACTTTCCTCTCATGTAAGTGCTTCAGGATTGATTCTTTGAGGACCTGCTCCATGATTTTTCCGGGGACTGAAGTGAGGCTCACTGGCCTGTAGTTTCCAGGATCCTCCTTCTTCCCTTTTTTAAAGATTGACACTACATTAGCCTTTTTCCAGTCATCCGGGACTTCCCCCGTTCGCCACGAGTTTTCAAAGATAATGGCCAATGGCTCTGCAATCACAGCCGCCAGTTCAAAAAAGGGACGCAGCTCAGTTCAGTCAGGGCTGGCTGATGGAGGAGAGTGGATGCATGTTACAGGCTCCTATCAGGAATCCAATCGAGCCCCAAACTATGGAAGCTGGGCACCCACAGAGGATCGGGGAGATGGAAAGCCACTTATTCTGGAGGAGCTGCAGGATCCGGAATCAGTGGTAGATAGGAAGCAGCCCAGAGAACATGTCTATTGAGAGAAGAACCTGAAACCAGAGCTACTGGTTCCCTGGATCAGGATCTGGTGGAGAAGGGCAGGCCGAGGTCCCCCTACCCCTCACTGTGCCTAACACTAGGCCTCTCTGCCCTGAATACAAGGGCAGCTGCATAGACTCTGGCCACTAGGCATCACTGCCCTGAACACAAGAGGAGCTCCATAGACTCTGGCTGCTAGGTTTCGCTATCCCGAAGGCGAGGAAGCACATTGACTGAAAGGGGTTTTCCCCCCTTCTTTCTCCCCTGATGGCCTGATACCCCAGCGTGTTCTTAGCTTTTCATTGCTCTTACATGATACCTTCTAGCCACAGGTTATGACATTAGTGAGTTGGGGTACATTCAACTGGTCAGGTCAGTTGAAACTCACTACCAGATACCAATGTGCCCTTTGCTGTCTTGCACTGGATTGCTGTTAGGGTCACACATGCAAAACACTTAACTACACACAATGCCCTCCCCTGCACCCCCGCCACCTCTACCCCTGATATGTAGAATAAGTGTTGACTAAACCCTGCTGGAATCGTAGTATCTCAGTGAAGTAGGACGTATTTTGGTAGGATTTATTTTAAGAGCTAAACAAAGTTATAAGACTTCTATAGACACATATTTCTTTTTTTTTAATTGGAGTTGTATGTCTAATCCACCATGCATGGAACTGAAACTTACCCATTACTGACCCTCCGGGTCGTTGGGGAAAGCCTTTGTTGGTATGACTTGGATATTACAGATTTCAGCAGCCTTCACAGAGAATGCTGCACTTTTAAACACATGCCATTGGTCTAAACTGTGAATTCTCAAGTACCATATTGGAAAATCATAATGGCCCAAATTCATCCTTGATCTAACGTTGACTGCAATGAGTATTTCTAAATAATTTCACCAATTCTGTTTAAGGCACCAATAGTACCAGCTCAGTTCCTAATATCGTGTAGTGATTTTCTTCCATCACAAATGTTAGAGGGAAAACTGGGAGTAGGAAGTAGTTACTATTAAAAGTAGTATGAACTTCTCTGAATATCCTTTTCAGGCAATGCTGTATTTGATACAAGATGGTGGTTTTCCACCTTTCCCATTTCCATTCCAGGGCCCCACTCCCATGTATTGGGAACCCCCTCTCCTGTTCAGCAATATTGGAAGAGCAGGGTGGATGCTAACCCCTGATATCTACTCATGACTGAGAACCTAAGATATAAGGGATATGACATGCTAAACACCCATCTCCTGCTCTCTGAAACAAGAATAATTTCTTAGATTTTATTTATTTGGCTGGGTTCATGCTCTAAATAACCCCTGGAAGCAATAGGGCACCTGAGCTGATCTGTCTCACCATTTGTGAAATTGCACAGTAAGCACTAGACAGGATTGCTTTCAGTTTTCTCCTACTGATCACAGATTTTAATTTTGAGGGGGGAAATCTTAACTTTTATAAATGGTACAAAGTGATTGTTACCATTCAAGAGAGCTTGTACAATTATTTTTTTTTTTGTCAAAACGTGTCACTGTGTATTTCCCAGTTCTGTTCTGTGGACACTTATAATGTTGCACTGAGCAAAACAGTGCAGCTTTCTTTTCATCTCTCTCTCTCTCTCTCTCTCCATATATATATATATAGGCAAGACTTATTTTAAGAGCTTATTTTTAGGCACTGTGGCAGTTGTTTTCTACTTTTCCATACTATGACACCCACTTCCATTCCAGGACCCTACTCCCTTCTTGGTAAGATCACCTCCTATTTAGCAATATCAGAAGAACAGTCATCACAAGAGTCATCACAAGTCTGTAACATCTATTCACAATCCCAAGTTGAGACCCTCCAAGATAAAGGATACAACATGATAAAAACCCAACTCCTCCTCTCAGGCATGAGAATCGTTTCTTAGATTTTATTAGTTGGATTATTTCATGCTCTGCATTATCCCTGAAAGCTGTAGTGCATCTGAACTGATATGTCTCATCATTTATGAAGCTGCACAGAAGCACTAGACTTTCATTTTCTCCTAGTGTTCACAGATTTTAAGGGTTTTTTTGAGGGCCTGGGAGGAGGATCTCAACTTTTATAGATGGTATGACGTGAATTTTTCACTTTTTGAAATGTTGACATTTTTTCCTCATTAAAACTTTTTACTATTTGTTGGCCCAGATCTGCTCTGCAAACAAACACTTATGGTGTTGTACCAAGCAAAATAATGCAGCTTTTTTTTCACCTTTGGGAAACAATGCCCCACTCACAAACTTTAATGCCACAAAGCCAATTGTTATCTAGGGATGGAAAGTTTTGTTAGTCATTGGAAGTCTTAGGCAGTTAGCTTCAACACATCTTGTGCCGGGATCTGCAGGATTAAATATTTATAACAAGTGGCTGCTTCCGCCTTACCTCTGCAAAGAAAATTATCTCTGCCTTTCTCCAAGATACATGTCTTGTCCTCATAGTTGGACCTGGGATCAGATTTCATGTTATTGAATACAGCCTTCTCCACCACAACATCCAACTCCTTTTCAGTCAGCCGTTTTTCCAAGAGGTCACAAATTTTCAGCACAGCACTTCTGAGATCCTAAAATGAGCACTATTTCAATTTAACAATTCCCAAAATGAGAAAAGCAAAAGAGCCAAATAAATAAATGAGAGAATAGAGGCTAATGGGATATTTCAATAAGGGTGGGAAACTGAACATGGAATGAAAGATGCTCCTCTTATTACACTGTTCTGTAGACAAGATTTTTATTCACTGTCCCTGGCTACAGCAATATCAAATCCTGACAGGTGAGTAGCAAGATGAGTCCTTATAAGTCTCTTCTTTATGTAACCCTTCCTCATGGCCTACCAAGAGAGAACAAGCTCATTTCTGTGTGTGAGAATACTATTGCTAACATTATATGTGATAAAGGCTGACAATTTTCTGAGCAAAGAGTCTGTCTCATAGCTGTGACTCTTTTCCCAAATATCTCTATTCTTTATGTTAGCAGATGTTCCTTATTTTACTATTATATAATATAGCGTATATTTCACTATATGTTAAGTGCAGACCATGTGCAGCCCAAGAGACTATGGGTGGAATTTTCAAAAGTGACTATGTGAGTTAGACACCTAACTCCTATTGAAAGCCAGCTCAGAAACCTCCCATTTTCCTGCTGCGGGCTTTGGAAAATCTCACCCTGTGGTCCTGATTCTGCTGCCCTGACACGGAGAAGTATTTTTTTCAAGGAATGTCAGTGAAATCCATGAGACCAATGCATTTTGTGAGGAGTCACATTGTGAGCAAGGGTGGCAGAATCTGATTGGTTTAGTGAATGAATGCAGTGAGGCGTTAGGCCTGGGCTATCCTTAGATGTTACGTCAACATCACTAAGATGCTCAGGGAACCATAGTATGGGGACAGAGAGGGATATACAGATTCCCTTGGAATGTGGCAGAGGTGGGAGTGGGGGGCACACAGCGCTTGTGCATGGGTGGGTAGGAATGGAGGTGAGACACACGGAGCCTCTGGCATAACTGAGGGAGTGGGGTGGGGGTCGTCCCTGACAAAGGGGATAGGAGAATGGGACACTTGTGAGTAGGGGACAAGGAAGGGATGCAAGGCAGCCCTGGCCCAGAGATACAAAGTTTGTGCCACTTCAGTGTTTAGATATAATGATATCAACAGGCCTCACCTTCTTCATCTCCTCATAAGTAAGAAAGAAAATATTGTAATCAACTCTGTAGGCATACCAGCCTCTGATGTGATCAAACCAGGAGCTAGCAAGTACTTACAAGGGGGAAAAATAATTGAATGTTAATGATCTCTGAGAGCAAAATAATTCAATCATCAACACTTTAGCACCCTACTGTCAGAAGAACGGCTGAGAATGACTGTTCAAGTCCCTCCTTTAAACACTAGGGGAAAACTTCAACAGGAAAGATTGAGGAAATTGTCTCACTCCAGAAGACCCCATAACCCAGTGGTTAGGACATGTGTGAAAGCAGGAATTTCAGCCAGGGTATCCCACATCCTCTAAGTGCTCTAACTCCTGTGTGATAGAGTAAAAAGGGGCACCACCTCTACTGGCTGTGTTGTCATGTGGGTCCTGACGTGGTAGATGGTCTATAAGGTGGCCTCTGAGCATAGCTACTGGATACAGTTACATGGGCAAGATAGACAGGGGACCGCCTACTTTGTGAATCCTGCCACATGAGCAAAGAACCAAGCTGCTCAGATGTGTCAGGACTGAGATATCTGTGCACATGCCCAATGGAGGCTCCTAGGGGACTTTGCCAGGGAAAACTTAGGCATCTAGGGAATTTAGGCACCTACAGAGTTAATGGCAGCTGAACGGGGCTTGTGAGAATCTACATTTTGTGTTTAGGCCCCTAAAATGGCAGTTAGACCCCCAAGACCCCCTTGTGGCTTACACCTGACACCTGACTTGGGTTTTACAGACAGTCAGACAGTTACATAGCCAACAAGTTGTGCTTTTACCTTTAGACTTCACTGGCCTCATACAATGGTACTTTACCCAGTACAACATATTTATGCTTTGGATCAGGAATCAGCAACCTTTGGAACGTGGCCCGCCAGGGTTAGCCCCCTGGTGGGCCGGGCCAGTTTGTTTACCTGCCGTATCCTCAGGTTCAGCCGATCACAGCTTCCACTGGCCACGGTTCACCACTCCAGGCCAATGGGGGCTGCAGGAAGTGGTGGCCAGCACATCCCTCGGCCCCATGCAGCTTCCTGCAGCCCTCATTGGCCTGGAGCGGCAACTGTGGTCAGTGGGAGCTGTGATCGGCTGAACCTCTGGACGCAGCAGGTAAACAAACTGGCCCGGCCCACCAGGGGGCTTGCCCTGGTGGGCCACGTGCCAAAGGTTGCCGATCCCTGCTCTGGATAGTTTACTTTTGGATAATAATTTCTATTATATTTTTTGTGAGCTGCCTAGAACTAAATGCCACTGTATTATCCAAAATCCTGTGTCCTTTGTGGCAACCTGGCTTAAAGTCCAAAGTGAGGATCTTCATGGTTTCTTCAGCTCTCCAATGTGGCAAACTGAAGAGTCTGCAGCAACTTCAGCAAAAAATGGAAGATTTTTTTTTATTGAATTAAATATGAACAACTGTGCACTATTCCTGGTTTTATTAATAAACAAGTTATTTTACTGTCAACTTAAATTGTCATAGAGTCATGGACTTTAAGGTCAGAAGGGACCATTATGATCATCTAGGCTGACCTTCTGCACAACACAGGCCACAGAATCTCACCCACCCACCCCTGTAAAACTCCTAACCTATGTGTGAGCTACTGAAGTCCTCAAATCATGGTTTAAAGACTTCAAGGTGCAGACAATCCTCCAGCAAGTGACATGTGTCCCACGCTGCAGAGGAAGGTGAAAACCCCCCAGGGCCTCTGCCAACCTGCCCTGGAGGAAAGTTCCTTCCCGATCCCAAATATGGTGATCAGCTAAACCCTGAGCTTGTGGGCAACACTCACCAGCAAGACACCCAGGAAAGAATTCTCTATAGTAACTCAGATCCCACCCCATCTAACATCCCATCACAGGCCATTGGGCATATTTACCGCTAATAGTCAAAGATCAATTTATTGCCAAAAATTAGGCTATCCCATCATACCATCCCCTCCACAAACTTATCAAGCTTAGTCTTGAAGCCAGATATGTCTTTTGCCCCCACTGGTCCCCTTGGAAGGCCGCTCCAGAACTTCACTCCTCTGATGGTTAGAAACCTTTGTCTAATTTCAAGTCTAAACTTCCTGATGGCCAGTTTATATCCATTAGTTCTTGTGTCCACATTGGTACTGGGCTTAAATAATTCCTCTCCCTCCCTGGTATTTATCCCTCTGATATACTTACAGAGAGGCTATATTAGCTGCATTAGAGAGAACATTGCATTGTAAGAAATAATTAAGGGAGAATTCAGGAGCTGGACAGGTGACAGCTGAGTCTTTTTGGCTTTTGGGAGGGTGTGGTGGTAGTTTGGGACTGTGGACTAAGCACAGTAGTCGGATATTTCTACTAAAGTGATCAGCATCTTACTACTTCTGTTTTCTCTGGAGAGTGCTTATTAGCATCTGCTCATCTCAGTTATTTCAGCACTTAATTGTCAAAATGTATTTAAATATTCATTAATAGGTTTCAGAGTGAATACCTAATTGAGATAAATTAAATCAGGCAACGTGCACTTTATTGGTGCACAGTTTCTCTGGAATGATTTTGCACACTGAATTTCTCTAGTGAGCTGTGGATCCTACTGCAGTCACTCCAGCCTTAGAACTGCCCTTCCTCCCAAGCCCCATGCCCATCTAAGGGGGAGACTTCTGACCAGCACCACATTCTGTATAATTTACTGACATGGATAGTTTATTCAGGCTGTGCTCAGTGAACAGGGTTTGGTTTTTTAGCAGTAAATGGAACCTTACCTTTCCCAGCTAAAAACCTCTCCAGAAAAATATGAAAATCTGGTACTGTCTCAAATATGAATGCATGCTTGCTAAAACGAAAATAGGAAACCGCAACATCCGTAGGGTTTCTGGCTACATGAATAACCTGCAAGATAAAAAAAACTGACAATCTCAGCAACATTAAAGGGACACCATTAACCTTCACTGAGGGACTCTTCCTTTAGATTAAGGAAAAGCAGGAGAGGTCAAATATCTCCATGAGAGTTAGCTTAGTGGGAGTTCCTCACACACACACACACCCCCCACCCCAACCTCTTGAGCTGCATGTGGCTCATTCCACTGCCCCATCTTCGGCAAGAAGTCTCCTTATGTATAAACTTGCAGGAGATATGAAATATCCCCTGTATGGAGAACATAACAGCTTATACTTACATACAACACAAAACCACTAACTTACAATATGTGTGGAATATGCAGTATTGTTGGAGCTGTGTTGGTCCCAGGATATTAGAGAGACAGTGGGATGAAGTAATAAAGCTTAGAAGCGTGTCTCTCTCACACCAACAGAAGCTGGTCCAATAAAAGCTATTACTTCACTCACCTTGTCTCTAATATACATTGAAAACATGCAGACTGCAATGATCATAACTCCCACTTTTGGGTGAACAGTCATGGGGTGGAGGAAGCAGCTTGGCCCAGGGGCCAAGCACAGCGGTTCCATGAAAAATGGGATCTTCATTGAATCTGGACACTGAAGTCCTGAGGTCACACTGGAACTTGTTTGTCCTGCCCCCACCCCCTCCACACACACACATTGCTGGGGTCTAGGGAGATGGAATGGGGCCTCGGAGGAACGTGAGCCCCTATCCCTTGAGGAAGGTTGCTTTTGGAAGGGTTGTTGGAGAAAGGCAGACAACCCAGCCCTGAGGATTTGGACTGATTTATTGGAGAAAGCAATGCATTTTCTTGGTTAATTTTAATTACTTTGTAAAATTAGCATCACCATCCTTTGTTTCTCAGATCTCTTGGAGCTAAATAGTAATGCAGGTGAGTGGAAAAGAGACGTGGTGATGGACGACTGCCATAATCCATTTTATTGGAATTGTACTCTAGCCATGGAACTCTGTCAATTGTTTCAGTTTTTGCTGTTCCATCCCGATGGCCTTCATAATAAATCAAGCTCAAAATATTCTGCATCCACACAGTTCCTGGGAAAGAAAATAACTTTATTTGATGATTTTTTTTAAATTAGAGCAATAATCTGACTAAAACCAGGTGTGGTTTTGAAGATATTGTGTTTCATTTTTAAAGAAAGTACAAATACTTGCAACAATTGAAGGGTAAAGATAATACTCGGTCTTACTCTAGGGAGTTCATAAGTGCAGCAGGGAATTGTTAATTTTTGTACATTTTAATACTGTATATACGTGATGGTCAGTAACTAAATTTTCAAATATCGGATATCCATTCAGTGTAAATTCATTCCTGTGTTTCGGTGTTGATCATGAAATGGGCCATGGAAACAGAAGCTACCTCCTGTTAAAAATGTGTTAGAAATGGCTCTTTTGTTTCTATGGCTCCTACAAAGTATTGTGGACTATAATGGAGCAATTTATACAACTACACACTTGGAGCCAAATCTGGCACACCGTTGAAGTAGCTGTGTTGGGCAATAGAGAGATGTGGAAGATTCCTGGGGGAACAGGGAAAGAACCTAATCCTAGGTGGCAGAGCAAAGCTACTAACAAATCCTATCGTTGGGGAGAAGATGAGAGAACAAACAACATATGACAGATGTTAATCACATCACTTATGCAGTACTAGAAGACACTCAGATACTACAGTGATAAGCATGGTATAAGAACCTGTATAGAATAGAATACAATCGAATCGACAACATCATGCCTGACGCATGACTGTCCCTGAGGGGAATGATCAGTGGAACCATGTAATGGTAGATCCATTGGTGTTACCCAAACCACCCTGTATACTTTTGCTGCAAGAGTCTCCAAGGGCCCCTGCTCCATCCATGAAATGGAAGAGCCCCAGTCCTACTGCAGGGCCCATGGGAACTCACATTCACCTTATTCTCCATCATGACCACCAAACCTTTCTCAGAGTCACTGCTTCATAGGATAGAGTATCCCAGGCTGTAAGTATGGCCTACATTCTTTGTTCCTAGATGCATAACTTTACCATTGGCCATATTAAAAGGCATTGTATGTGTAAGCGGGGGAACAGTCCTGCTATTGTGGGGAACTTTCCTGGCTTCTGCACTACCCTGGTGAACTGGGCTAGTGAAAGGATCTGAGTCCTCGCTCCCACTTCCTTTACCAGTGGCCTCCCTGCCCTTGAGGACTCCTGTCCTCCACTCCAGACATCCACTCTCCTGTCTGGCAGAGTCCTCTTAACCCCAACAAGGCTGGGCCCAGGATTCCTGGGGGGCTCGACCCCCAACCCTGCTGTGGTCACCTAGGATATGGGCTAGGGTGTCCCACTCCAGGGTACTCTCTCTGCCCTGAGCACTTCTCTGACCCACTGACCATTACATACAAGTTAAAGCAAATGCAAGTTATTTAATCAACAATTAATTTTAAAAAGAATAAGGGAAAATGGGAAAGGTTAAAGGAAACACATCAACCCGCTCCGTGGCAGGGAACATCACAAACAGTGTCTCTAGAATGTCAGGTCAGTTCACAGTCTGTTCCTTGTAAGTCCCAGGCCTTCTTCTCAGGCCCTGGCTATAATGCAGGGATGCTGTGGGTTGGACACTTGCTCTGGTGGTGGCCACACACTCTCAGGATCTAAGTGGTAGGACCCTTCTTCCCAGCATCACCCTCGCCCTGTCGGGGTTACTGCTCACCGCACCCAGCTCTGGACTGCTCCAGCCCCAGCTCCACGACTCTGTCTCAGCACTGCTGCTGCTGCTCTGCCTCCAGCTCCCTGGGCTGCTTCTCTGGCCCCTCTGGCTCTGGATGCTACAGCTCTGCTCCCAGGACAGGTCTGCTCTGCAGGCTGCTTCTGTGACTTTGCTCCCAGCACTGACCTGCTTCCTGGGCTGCTTTTCTGGCCCCTCTGGCTCTGGTTGCTGCAGCTCTGCTCCCAGGGCAAGTCTGCTCTCTCTGGGCTGTGCCTCTGGCTTTGGGGCTGCAGCTCTGCTCCCACAACAGGGGCTGCTCTCTCTGTTTCTGGCACATCTCTGCTCCCCAGCTAAACTCAGGCCCCTGCTTCCTCCTTAGCTCGGCCCCACCCTGTCTGACCCAGGCAATTCCAGCTCACAGGGAGGACAGGACCTCCCTGGCCTCCTGACTCCCTGATTAGCCTGCCCGCCCTGTCATTCAGGCTGACCTAGACCATTGGCCTCTCCTCATTGTTCCTGGGGACTGTCAGTCTCAGGGTCCTGATTCCCCATCGACACTTCCCCCTTTTTAGTACTGGGAGCTAGCAACTAAAATACCCCCACTGAATGTTAGTGAGGGGGCAACAGTCCCCTTACATACGTTTGAGTCCACCTTACCAAATCATTATGTATCAGTGATCTGTCCTCTTAATTTTTTAATCAGCCTTTGTGTCATTTGCAACCTTTATCAGTGATGATTTTATGATTTCTTCCAGGACATTGATCAAAATGTTAAATAGCATAGGGCCAAAAACCAATTTTCGGATGTTTTCTAAGTAAGGCTTCTCTCCCCCATCCTAGTCAGGGCACTCTCTTTTGAGGTGTCCTGGTCTCCCACAGGCATAACACTGCTTTGGCCAGTGTTGGGGACACTGGGCATGGCCACTAGGTAACTCGAGGGGATGGAAGACCACGAGTGTCGATGAAGCCCCCTCGCACTAGGCCCAAGTGTCCTTGGCTCCTCCCCCTGCCTGGAGGCACTCGCAGCAGTTATGCGTACTGGGCCCAAGTGTCCTTGGCACCCCTGCCTGGAGGCACTCACAGCAGTTATGCTGAGGATCTGCAACAATATGTTGCAGAGTCAGACTGCCTGAAACTAAACAAGGCCAAACAGGGCAAATATGGAAGAACAATGATGAATAAAGCAGCTTTATGTATGATTTAACAGCTGGTACAGAGAACAAGGGAACTAGCTGGTAACTGGATTGGCTGGCTATATGGATACTTAGGGCAGCTTGCTATTGGATAAGTATGCTGAAGAAAGGATGTATAAAAGCCTGTGTAACTTCCTGCTTTGTGTGCAGGATTTGAGATTCTAATCTCCCTGTACCTTGTTTGCAGCTGCAGATAAACTTTTCTGCTTCTCCACCCTGTTGTGATTGTTGGGTGATGCACACCGGGCAACGAACCCCTGCTGTTGCTCGCCTCTGGCACTGGGTGCCGGCAACACCAGGATTCTGGCCCTGGTACCTCCCTTTCTATGTTGCTGTCTCGGGCCTCTGCTAGCTTTTTCCCCCAGGAACTTAACTAGAGCCAGTTGCTGATCGGCCAGCTGGGCCAGATAATTCTGAATGTACCAATGTGCCTCCCACTGTCTTTGCTGGTTCTCCAGCACCTACTGCAGCAGGCCCTGGCTCCATCCCTGTTGTTTGTCACCCCCTTTCTGCTAAAGAGTCCAGAATGGGAGGGTATAAGTGCTCTCTGCACAAAAAGCATACTGTGGCTCTATTGTCTTTCCCTTTTTCTGTTATGATCTCCACATTCCCCTTGTATTGGAGTGACTGCGTGTCCATGTTCTCCATCGATGCCACAGAGTCCACTCACGGGAAGGGACACCTCCTCCTGTCCAGTCTAGGGAATCTGTTCTTTCCAGGTGTGAAGTCCTCTTCTGCTACTTGCCGCACACTCTGTTGCTTCTCTCGCTCTCACTCACTGTTTGGAACTCAGGGTACTCCTTCTTCATGACTTGGCCTCTGGCAAGGTCACTATATGTGTGGTACTCCAGAAGGGGGTCTAAAGTTCTGTCCTGACAAATGGGCTCAGGCAGTCTTCCCGGTTTCCCAACCAGCTGCTGAGGAAGTGACACTGTCTGGGCAATGAACGGAAAGATTGCATGAGTCCACTTGTGAGGATAGTTCCCCTTCTGAGGTATCAGAGTGTAACACGTACAGTGACCTGGCTGGAGAGCCACAGCACAAAGAAGGAGCACCCTGAGTGCCACACCGTGAAAGAGAGGCAATAGAGTGCATGGCAAGCAGCAGAAGAGGGCCTTCGACCTAGAAAGAGCTGATTGCCCAGGAGGAGGCGCCACTAGTGGTGAGTGGACCCCTTGACAGGCCCCCAACTCCCATGGAGAGTTAGTACCTAAATACGTTTGAAGATCTCTGCCCTTGTCCATTCTTTAAACTTTTTAAAAAACATCTATCTGCAACCATATCTATTTATCTGAAAGGGATCAAGCTATTGCTAATACAAGCTAGTAACTCCTACAGAACTATATATTCATGTTGATTCCTGCATCTTTGCTGGATTCCTCTGTTGTATCTTCTGCTAGCAAATTCATGTCTTTTCACTGGGACTATCACAATACTCATACCAACTATTTTCACAACAAATACGATAGTGAGAGGTGTCCTATAGAGCAGACATACAGCATTCTGTATTAGAGAGACAAGGTGGGTAAGGTGACATCATTTATTTCACCAGCTTCTGTTGGTGAGAGAGACAAGCTTTTGAGCTTACACAGAGCTCTTAGACTGAGATAGCTGATATCAAAGCCAACCATGTGGTTTGCCCCATGACTTCCTGGAGAAAGGCAAAGAACATTTTATTCACAAAGGTAATGCAGAGGCAATCAAATATGTTAAACAAACGCACAACTGCAGATAGCAGAGACAGGATTACACCACTGGAGTTCTTGGCTCCCAGCCCCATGCTTAAATTAGCTGACCAGACTGCCTGCCCATCTGACAGCATTCTGATATGAGGACAGTTGTACCTTACTGATGAATTATAAATAAATTACACAGACAAAGCCAAATAAATTCTTTTTCTAACTGAGAAACTGTGTAGGACGAGGGGGGTGGGGGTAATTCACAGACTTTGACATCTGACTGCTCCTCATGCTTCCTATGAGACAAACTTTTTTGCTTTTTAATGGAATGGTACCTGCCAACAAAAGTCTCAAAAATATATTTTAATTTTTTTAAAAATCCATAATTTTGATTGTTAACACAGTTAACAATAGAAGACAAAAGCATCTACTAAACTGCACAAATATAGGAAGGTGCAATTGTGATTTTAAAAAATGCATACTGTCTGATGTATGTCATTTATGGGACCCAATCCTGAAAAATCTTCCAGCCCAGTGGCTTCTGTGGAGGTGCAGAGTTCTACCCAAACAGAGCAACTCACAAAAATAAAATCTTACCAACCTGTTTATGTGAAACCTGTCCACAGAAGGATACACCAGTCTTCCAGTAAACAACATTTAGGATTGGCAGAACTTTATTTTTTGATCATTTTGATGGAAAATACCAGTGTTTATTTTTCATTTTTTTCTATAAATTTAAATATTCAGTTGTGGGAAATCATGGGGCAAGGCCAGACAATTGTATACTGACAGTAGACATTGAGATTAAAAAACTTAAAGCTTTATAACTGTTAAAATACAGTTTGTCAACCTAACATCAAACTATACAAAGGGTATGTCTACACTACGGAATAAGGTCGAATTTATAGAAGTCGGTTTTTTAGAAATCGGTTTTACATATTCGAGTGTGTGTGTCCCCACAGAAAATGCTCTAAGTGCATTAAGTGCATTAACTCGGCGGAGCGCTTCCACAGTACCGAGGCTAGAGTCGACTTCCGGAGCGTTGCACTGTGGGTAGCTATCCCACAGTTCCCGCAGTCTCCGCTGCCCATTGGAATTCTGGGTTGAGATCCCAATGCCTGATGGGGCTAAAACATTGTCGCGGGTGGTTCTGGGTACATATCGTCAGGCCCCCGTTCCCTCCCTCCCTCCGTGAAAGCAAGGGCAGACAATCATTTCGCGCCTTTTTTCCTGAGTTACCTGTGCAGACGCCATACCACGGCAAGCATGGAGCCCGCTCAGGTAACCGTCACCCTATGTCTCCTGGGTGCTGGCAGACGCGGTACGGCATTGCTACACAGTAGCAGCAACCCCTTGCCTTGTGGCAGCAGACGGTACAGTACGACTGGTAGCCGTCATCGTCATGTCCGAGGTGCTCCTGGCCACGTCGGCTGGGAGCGCCTGGGCAGACATGGGTGCAGGGACTAAATTTGGAGTGACTTGACCAGGTCATTCTCTTTAGTCCTGCCTGCAGTCAGTCCTATTGAATCGTCTTATGGTGAGCGGGCAGGCGATATGGACTGCTAGCAGTCGTACTGTACCATCTTCTGCCGAGCAGCCATGAGATGTGGATGGCATGCAGTCCTTCTGCACCGTCTGCTGCCAGCCAAAGATGTAAAAGATAGATGGAGTGGGTCAAAACAAGAAATAGACCAGATTTGTTTTGTACTCATTTGCCTCCTCCCCTGTCTAGGGGACTCATTCCTCTAGGTCACACTGCAGTCACTCACAGAGAAGGTGCAGCGAGGTAAATCTAGCCATGTATCAGTCAGAGGCCAGGCTAACCTCCTTGTTCCAATAAGAACGATAACTTAGGTGCACCATTTCTTATTGGAACCCTCCGTGAAGTCCTGCCTGAAATACTCCTTGATGTACAGGCACCCCCTTTGTTGATTTTAGCTCCCTGAAGCCAACCCTGTAAGCGCCCCTCCCGGCGTCAGAGCAACGGCAAACAATCGGGCATCTGAGAGTGCTGTCCAGAGCAGTCACAATGGAGCACTCTGATGGGGCTAAAACATTGTCGCGGGTGGTTCTGGGTACGTATCGTCAGGCCCCCGTTCCCTCCCTCCCTCCGTGAAAGCAAGGGCAGACAATCATTTCGCGCCTTTTTTCCTGAGTTACCTGTGCAGACGCCATACCACGGCAAGCATGGAGCCCGCTCAGGTAACCGTCACCCTATGTCTCCTGGGTGCTGGCAGACGCTGGTACGGCTTTGCTGCACAGTAGCAGCAACCCATTGCCTTCTGGCAGCAGACGGTGCAATACGATTGGTAGTCGTCCTCGTCGTGTCCGAGGTGCTCCTGGCCACGTCGGCTGGGAGCGCCTGGGCAGACATGGGCGCAGGGACTAAATTTGGAGTGACTTGACCAGGTCATTCTCTTTAGTCCCCTGCAGTCAGTCCTATTGAACCGTCTTATGGTGAGCGGGCAGGCGATACGGACTGCTAGCAGTCGTACTGTACCATCTTCTGCCAGGCAGGCAAGAGATGAGGATTGCTAGCAGTCGTATTGTACCATCTTCTGCCAGGCAGGCAAGAGATGGGGATGGCTAGCAGTCGTACTGTACCATCTTCTGCCGAGCAGCCATGAGATGTGGATGGCATGCAGTCCTTCTGCACCGTCTGCTGCCAGCCAAAGATGTAAAAGATAGATGGAGTGGGTCAAAACAAGAAATAGACCAGATTTGTTTTGTACTCATTTGCCTCCTCCCCTGTCTAGGGGACTCATTCCTCTAGGTCACACTGCAGTCACTCACAGAGAAGGTGCAGCGAGGTAAATCTAGGCATGTATCAGTCAGAGGCCAGGCTAACCTCCTTGTTCCAATAAGAATGATAACTTAGGTGCACCATTTCTTATTGGAACCCTCCGTGAAGTCCTGCCTGAAATACTCCTTGATGTACAGGCACCCCCTTTGTTGATTTTAGCTCCCTGAAGCCAACCCTGTAAGCCGTGTCGTCAGTAGCCCCTCCCTCCGTCAGAGCAACGGCAGACAATCGTTCTGCGCCTTTTTTCTGTGCGGACGCCATACCAAGGCAAGCATGGAGGCCGCTCAGCTCACTTTGGCAATTAGGAGCACATTAAACACCACACGCATTATCCAGCAGTATATGCAGCACCAGAACCTGGCAAAGCGATACCGGGCGAGGAGGCGACGTCAGCGCGGTCACGTGAGTGATCAGGACATGGACACAGATTTCTCTGAAAGCATGGGCCCTGCCAATGCATGCATCATGGTGCTAATGGGGCAGGTTCATGCTGTGGAACGCCGATTCTGGGCTCGGGAAACAAGCACAGACTGGTGGGACCGCATAGTGTTGCAGGTCTGGGACGATTCCCAGTGGCTGCGAAACTTTCGCATGCGTAAGGGCACTTTCATGGAACTTTGTGACTTGCTTTCCCCTGCCCTGAGGCGCATGAATACCAAGATGAGAGCAGCCCTCACAGTTGAGAAGCGAGTGGCGATAGCCCTGTGGAAGCTTGCAACGCCAGACAGCTACCGGTCAGTTGGGAATCAATTTGGAGTGGGCAAATCTACTGTGGGGGCTGCTGTGATGCAAGTAGCCCACGCAATCAAAGATCTGCTGATATCAAGGGTAGTGACCCTGGGAAATGTGCAGGTCATAGTGGATGGCTTTGCTGCAATGGGATTCCCTAACTGTGGTGGGGCGATAGACGGAACCCATATCCCTATCTTGGCACCGGAGCACCAAGCCGCCGAGTACATAAACCGCAAGGGGTACTTTTCGATAGTGCTGCAAGCTCTGGTGGATCACAAGGGACGTTTCACCAACATTAACGTGGGATGGCCGGGAAAGGTGCATGATGCTCGCATCTTCAGGAACTCTGGTCTGTTTCAAAAGCTGCAGGAAGGGACTTTATTCCCAGACCAGAAAATAACTGTTGGGGATGTTGAAATGCCTATATGTATCCTTGGGGACCCAGCCTACCCCTTAATGCCATGGCTCATGAAGCCGTACACAGGCAGCCTGGACAGTAGTCAGGAGCTGTTCAACTACAGGCTGAGCAAGTGCAGAATGGAGGTAGAATGTGCATTTGGACGTTTAAAGGCGCGCTGGCGCAGTTTACTGACTCGCTTAGACCTCAGCGAAACCAATATTCCCACTGTTATTACTGCTTGCTGTGTGCTCCACAATATCTGTGAGAGTAAGGGGGAGACGTTTATGGCGGGGTGGGAGGTTGAGGCAAATCGCCTGGCTGCTGGTTACGCGCAGCCAGACACCAGGGCGGTTAGAAGAGCACAGGAGGGCGCGGTACGCATCAGAGAAGCTTTGAAAACCAGTTTCATGACTGGCCAGGCTACGGTGTGAAAGTTCTGTTTGTTTCTCCTTGATGAAACCCCCCGCCCCTTGGTTCACTCTACTTCCCTGTAAGCTAACCACCCGCCCCTCCTCCCTTCAATCACCGCTTGCAGAGGCAATAAAGTCATTGTTGCTTCACATTCATGCATTCTTTATTCATTCATCACACAAATAGGGGGATGACTACCAAGGTAGCCCAGGAGGGGTGGTGGAGGAGGGAAGGAAAATGCCACACAGCACTTTAAGCACAGCACTTTAAAAGTTTACAACTTTAAAATTTATTGAATGACAGCCTTCTTTTTTTTGGGCAATCCTCTGTGGTGGAGTGGCTGGTTGGCCGGAGGCCCCCCCACCGCATTCTTGGGCGTCTGGGTGTGGAGGCTATGGAGCTTGGGGAGGAGGGCGGTTGGTTACAGAGGGGCTGCAGTGGCAGTCTGTGCTCCAGCTGCCTTTGCTGCAGCTCAACCATACACTGGAGCATACTGGTTTGGTCCTGCAGCAGCCTCAGCATTGAATCCTGCCTCCTCTTATCACGCTGAAGCCACATTTGAGCTTCAGCCCTGTCTTCAGCCCGCCACTTACTCTCTTCAGCCCGCCACCTCTCCTCCCGGTCATTTTGTGCTTTCCTGCACTCTGACATTATTTGCCTCCACGCATTCGTCTGTGCTCTGTCAGTGTGGGAGGACAGCATGAGCTCGGAGAACATTTCATCGCGAGTGCATTTTTTTTTCTTTCTAAGCTTCACTAGCCTCTGGGAAGGAGAAGATCCTGTGATCATTGAAACACATGCAGCTGGTGGAGAAAAAAAAAGGGACAGCGGTATTTAAAAAGACACATTTTATAAAACAGTGGCTACAGTCTTTCAGGGTAAACCTTGCTGTTAACATTACATACATAGCACATGTGCTTTCGTTACAAGGTCGCATTTTGCCTCCTCCCACCGCGTGACTACCCCCTCAACCTTCCCCCCTCCCTGTGGCTAACAGCGGGGAACATTTCTGTTTAGCCACAGGCAAACAGCCCAGCAGGAATTGGCTCCTCTGAGTGTCCCCTGAAGAAAAGCACTCTATTTCAACCAGGTGACCATGAATTATATCTCACTCTCCTGAGGATAACACAGAGAGATAAAGAACGGATGTTGTTTGAATGCCAGCAAACATACACTGCAATGCTTTGTTCTACAATGATTCCTGAGTACGTGTTACTGGCCTGGAGTGGTAAAGTGTCCTACCATGAAGGACGCAATAAGGCTGCCCTCCCCAGAAACCTTTTGCAAAGGCTTTAGGACTACATCTAGGAGAACCGCAAATGCCAGGGCAAAGTAATCCTTTCATATGCTTGCTTTTAAACCATGTATAGTATTTTAAAAGGTACACTCACCAGAGGTCCCTTCTCCGCCTGCTGGGTCCAGGAGGCAGCCTTGGGTGGGTTCGGGGGGTACTGGCTCCAGGTCTAGGGTGAGAAACAGTTCCTGGCTGTCGGGAAAACCGGTTTCTCCGCTTGCTTGCTGTGAGCTATCTACAACCTCCTCCTCCTCCTCATCTTCTTCGTCCCCAAAACCTGCTTCCGTATTGCCTCCATCTCCATTGAAGGAGTCAAACAACACGGCTGGGGTAGTGGTGGCTGAACCCCCTAAAATGGCATGCAGCTCATCATAGAAGCGGCATGTTTGGGGCTCTGACCCAGAGCGGCTGTTCGCCTCTCTGGTTTTCTGGTAGGCTTGCCTCAGCTCCTTCAGTTTCACGCGGCACTGCTTCGGGTCCCTGTTATGGCCTCTGTCCTTCATGCCCTGGGAGATTTTCACAAAGGTTTTGGCATTTCGAAAACTGGAACGGAGTTCTGATAGCACGGATTCCTCTCCCCAAACAGCGATCAGATCCCGTACCTCCCGTTCGGTCCATGCTGGAGCTCTTTTGCGATTCTGGGACTCCATCATGGTCACCTGTGCTGATGAGCTCTGCATGGTCACCTGCAGCTTGCCACGCTGGCCAAACAGGAAATGAGATTCAAAAGTTCGCGGTTCTTTTCCTGTCTACCTGGCCAGTGCGTCTGAGTTGAGAGTGCTGTCCAGAGCGGTCACAATGGAGCACTCTGGGATAGCTCCCGGAGGCCAATACCATCGAATTGTGTCCACAGTACCCCAAATTCGAGCCGGCAACGTCGATTTAAGCGCTAATCCACTTGTTAGGGGTGGAGTAAGGAAATCGATTTTAAGAGCCCTTTAAGTCGAAATAAAGGGCTTCATTGTGTGGACGGGTGCAGGTTTACATCGATTTAACGCTGCTAAATTCGACCTAAAGTCCTAGTGTAGACCAGGGCAAAGCAAACATCCTTAAATCAAATTCTAATAAATTCTTAAGCAGCATTTTTCTCTGCCTATCTGTAAATTTCAATTGTCGATGAAAATATTTTCATCAGTTTGTGTGTGCACAGTGAAATTGATGCTTACTGACATTAAACCTATAAAAATCTAATCGTTCCAAACCTAATATTGGATTGTTTAGGACATACAGCTGAAATGAGTCAATCTACGGGAATATTGGGGTATTGCCTTGATAATTAAAAGTATTGCAGTTTTGTTCTCTGTTTTTGTGTAGGTCTGCAATACTTGCTCACAAAAATCATTTTAAAGGTTGCCATGTCTGTAGCAAAATGACCAAATAACAGACAATTCTTATCTTACTCACTTTTTTGTTGTTGTTGTGGAAGCAATGAAAGAACAAATCAAGTCTGGAGAATTATTTGAAGACTGCATGATTTACACTGGAAGTTGGAGAGATGTGCTATGTGCATGTCACATCATGTAATAAACTGGCAAAATGTGTATTGCAGCCCACTGAAGTGATTGGTCCATTAATGGCTAAGGGCTTATTATTACTAGCTAGCTGAGGTACTCCATTAGCACCAGTGGACAAGGCTCCTGCTTTTAGTGTAGAAGGTCTTAGGTTCAAATGCTGGTGATAAAACAGGCAGGTGGGTTATTACACCCAGAGTCTGCGTGGCTCTATATAAATTGTGCAATTAATAATTAAATTTAATAAAAATTAACGTCACTCAATCTTTTAGCGAAAACTTTATATGTTAATACAAACACAATATGGTATATCTGCCAATTTTTTTCTCTTTAATAAACTACCTGAAAGTAAGTGAACAAATTTTACAACATTGTTGTTAGATCATTTTTAACTTAGGTTCATCAAGAATTAAAACAGTTTTTTTGTACTCCTGTCCATTTCTGCTGTTGCCCGTTTGAGGTGTTGCTCGTAAGAAAAGTTGGAATGAAAGTGAAAACTACTGTCATTTAAATAATGTTGGCTACTGAGATCTTTAATTCAGACATATACATGGAATTCGAGGCAAATTCATTACTGTTTTTTCACACAGACAATTTGAAGTCTTCACATTTGTAACAATTACTGTATTTTGTAATCTTTTACTAGGAGTCACCCCTCAGTTCAAGGGTCAGAACTGATTAAAAGAAGAAAGGCTAATGAGATCATGAAACTCCAGTCAGGTTGTGCACCAGCTGATCTGAAGTAGTATAAATATTTGCTAGTTTTTAGGACTGGATATCAACCTTGTTTATTCAGGTGGCAGCGAGGATAAACAGAGAAGAGAAGGTAAATATTATACTGTAAGATAATGCTACTGAAGTCTTTGGTGGTAAATTTGTGAATGACTGGAGTATTTTATATGATTGAGTGAAGTGGATTGGATGCCGTGGAACTATTTTTCCATCACTGCCCTCTGGTAATTAGCTGAGGGACATGGAATCTGTTCCTGAATTTACTGTAATTTTTTTTGTGACCATTCAGCAAAGTGTTGCTAAGGAGTTGACTAATGAAATGAATGTAATTTAAGCCATCATGGTGTTTACAGTATCAGCAGCATGATGGAGCTTTTAATTTGTAATTGAGTCAGCCCTCAGCTTTGGTCAGTCTGAGCCACACTGGCATTTCTCTCCTCTACTGTCTGCTTGTCTGTATCAGCACTTTTTGTATAGTTCCTGCTGTTGCAGCAGGGTTCATGGAGAAATAGATGTTTATACAAGTGCAGCTACTGCATCTAGTTGGCCTGCATGCCCATCTATATAACAGTGCTAGAATTTGAGATTTCCAGGAAGGTTTTATAACTCTTCTCCTTCTACATATGGGTGACTATTTTCGAGCAGCCCTTTTGCAGTGTCCCTCAAATTGAAATCTTCTATAGATCTTGCAGTGCAACCTGAAGGGTAAAAGGAAGTTGTGTAAATCTTTTAAAAGTTGAAAAAATAATAAAATTGGCAAGGAGGCTGATTGCTATAACAAAGTAGGAAGGAGAGAATCTTCAAGGTGAGTGCAGCCCTGCTGGGTGAGAGCATATCATTGTTTTGTTTAACGGCCTAAGTGCTAGGTTTGGTTTGTCATGTGACTCAAGTATTTTATCATATGGTGCTATCCTAGGGACACATCTATTTCTAAAAACAAAACAATCTTTTCTAAGTGTGATTTAAAAGCTCCATTACTTAACAGGCAGATCAGCAGATTCATTTGACAAAACCAAAACTGTAAGCTCAAGGGCAACATTTTCTGAGGTCTCAAGGAGGAAGGGTTCTCTAGAGATTGCATATTGGTATGTTTCTGTCCCTAAAGTGCACTAGGCCACAATGGGAAGCAAAAGGATAAACTCCCCAAGTCTGGCTCTTGCACCAGTGGACGAAGTTGGTCACACCTTTCCCCCCATCCCCCATCTTCTTGCTGCTCAATCTTTCATTTCCCAGCTTGGCAACTTTGATCTGAGTTTCAAGAGAAATGGGAGTTCTCAGATTTTTTCTCCATATACACTTCTAGTCTATTAGAACTAGTGTAGATCATGGGTTACTATGGACCTTGTCAGATGTGATATTACTAAATTACTTATGCTATTCAAAGGGGCAGGTAGAATGTGAGTATAGAAGAATTGCAACAATTCCTGCTCAGAAAGTCCTTCTTTTGCAATATATTCTAATCTGATACTTTTCCTGAAATATTCAATAGTGAAACTGAATTTTGTCTTGCTGATACAAAAAATATGCAACTTATTAATAATGATGATCTGCATATTTTATTTACATTAATTTTTTTTTTTACAAAAATAAGGTGAGAACAAACAAACCAACAATAACAAGAAGTAAAGGAATGGAAAGGAAAGGTGGCGGGGGGAGAGTATTCTGCATCTCTGCAGACATCCGAAGTGAGCTGTAACTCACAAAAGCTTATGCTCAAATAAATTTTTTAGTCTCTAACGTGCCACAAGTCCTCCTTTTTTTAGAATATAAAATCATCTTAGAAATACAGATTAAGAAAATGTAAAACAGAGAAGAGTTGCATCATGTATTCCATAATATTTAATGTTGTATTCAGCAGGACAGCTGACTTGCCCTTACTACAAAGTTTTTGCAAATAAATCTCTGACAAACTGCAGGATAAATCAAAAAACCCGTGAACGACATTTTTTTATTCCCAAGTTTAGTGCTTTTAATTGGGTACCTTCTGCATGTCCAGTCTTCATCTTCTGGCATGCAGTGGAAAACATATTCCATTTTCTTTAGAAAGAAATTGCAGAAGAGTGGTTTTTCAAATGTCATTTGCTTCATGTGGGTTCAGGGATTCGGCTGGAAGGGGGTGTGCAGGGAGGGGGAGAGAAGAGAGGAGGGAGACAGTGGGGAGAGGGCGGGGCTTGGGGCAGAGCAGGGGTGGAGTATGGGCCACAGGTGGGCTGGGGAGCAGGCCTCCCCAAGCAGCAGCTTCACCCACTGCCCATGACAGCCTGTAAGAGCGGGTTGGCTCCCGCACACCCAGCACGCACTGCAGCCTCTGTAGGCAGGGGCCGTATTCACAGAGCTGAATGCAACCATGCATTCTGCGTGAGGGAGAGAGTACGGGGGTTTCTGCGGGGAACTGAGACTCTGCTGCCACGAGGCAGACCAGGTGGCTTGGTATCCTTTGCTGCCTTGTCCTTCCCCCCTGGGCTGCGGTTGGGCATAGGGGCACCAGTTTAATAATACTGTCTAGGGCCCCATAAATCTTTCTTCCGGCAGCTCACGGAAGTTACTAGATCGCAGGCCCTGGTTCTCATGGGAGACTTCAATCACCCGGATATCTGCTGGGAGAGCAATACAGCCGTGCACAGACAATCCAGGAAGTTTTTGGAAAGGGTAGGGGACAATTTCCTGGTGCAAGTGCTGGAGGAACCGACTAGGGGCAGAGCTCTTCTTGACCTGCTGCTCACAAACCGGGAAGAATTAGTAGGGGAAGCAAAAGTGGATGGGAACCTGGGAGGCAGTGACCATGAGATGGTCAAGTTCAGGATCCTGACACAGGCAGGAAAGGAGAGCAGCAGAATACGGACCCTGGACTACAGACAAGCAGACTTTGTCTACGTCAGGGAACTGATGGGCAGGATCCCCTGGGAGGATGAGGGGGAAAGGAGTCCAGGAGAGCTGGCTGTATTTTAAAAAATCCTTACTGAGGTTACAGGGACAAACCATCCCGATGTGTAGAAAGAATAGTAAATATGGCAGGCGATCAGCTTGGCTTAACAGTGAAATCCTTGCTGATCTTGAACACAAAAAAGAAGCTTACAAGAAGTGGAAGATTGGACAAATGACCAGGGAAGAGTATAAAAATACTGCTTGGGGATGCAGGAGTGAAATCAGGAAGGCCAAATCACACCTGAAGTTGCAGCTAGCAAGAGATGTTAAGAGTAACAAGAAGGGTTTCTTCAGGTATGTTAGCAACAAGAAGAAAGTCAAGGAAAGTATGGGCCCCTTACTGAATGAGGGAGGCAACCTAGTGACGGAGGATGTGGAAAAAGCTAATGTACTCAATGCTTTTTTTGCCTCTATCTTCACGAACAAGGTCAGCTCCCAGACTACTGCACTGGGCAGCACAGCATAGGGAGGAGGTGACCAGCCCTCTATGGAGAAAGAAGTGGTTCGGGACTATTTAGAAAAGCTGGACGAGCACAAGTCCATGGGGCCGGATGCGCTGCATCCGAGAGTGCTAAAGGAGCTGGCGGATGTGATTGCAGAGCCATTGTCCATTATCTTTAAAAACTCATGGCGATCGGGGGAAGTCCCGGACGACTGGAAAAAGGCTAATGTAATGCCCTCTTTAAAAAAGGGAAGAAGGAGGATCCTGGAAACTACAGACCAGTCAGCCTCACCTCAGTCCCTGGAAAAATCATGGAGCAGGTCCTCAAGGAATCATTTCTGAAGCACTTAGAGGAGAGGAAAGTGCTCAGGAAC